TACACAGCATGCCCATTAACTTCTAAGCCAGAGGGGGACTGATGTTGCGACTGTAACACCTACAATGCTTTAGGGTCCCTCCGCCAAAGGGTTGGAACTTCACGTTCTCAGAAGTCCCAGGGTTCTTTAGAGGGAAAACGAGAAGATAATCCCTGGGGTCCTCTCAGCCTTCCAAATGGAGCTTAGCTCTTTCACCCCAGTCCTTACTTTCCTGCTGCGTAGACTTCGGCGGTGTCAAACAGGTTTACACCATGCTCGTAGGCTACAGTCAGCACATCCTCCGCTGTCTAGGGAGGTGAAAGAGGTGAAGATCAACTACTGTTCCTCAGTTACCTCCCTCACTGCACTCTAACCCATCACATCTCAGCCCTGGGTTCTCTAGTCTCTCCCCTCTCCCCATCCTCCAGCCTCAGATCCCTCATTCCCTGTGCTTGTTGTCCAAACCCCTATCCAGGTTAATTTCTCTTTTTTCAGGTTCCCTCACCCTCACCACCCTGATTCTATGTCCCATAACTTATACCTCATCTGAGATCTGAGAACCAAATGTGACCCAGGTACCTGAAAGAGAGAAGCCAGGCACATGAGAACTGCAGGGGGCAGACCATGAAAGAATACCCCCCTTTCCTTAATCCCTATTCTAACTCACCTAGGCCAAGACAGGATACCCGAAGACCAGACTTCCCCAAGTTCCTGCAAGATACAGAAGCAGCGGGAAGGGGTGGAGCCTCCATTATGGACCTAGATTATCAGCCCCCAGCTCCTCTCCTTCCAGACTGAGAGGCCCTCAGGTGTCTCAGTGCAAATAAACTAGACCCAGTGGGCCTATAGGATTGGGCAAGTGCTATCTCCAGAGCAGAGGTCCTAGGAATTTTGTCAAAAGGACAAGTGAACCATAAGTGACTGTTCCTCTGGAGCCACTGTCCAGAGTCTCCATTCTCTCTTATCACACTGAAGATGTGCTGTCAGGTTTGTCCTTCTTGTCTGTGTTTGAGTCATCTCTGGGATGTGTGCAGTGAGGGGCTGGGAGGAATTCTGTTTGATTGTGGTGTTTGATTGTGGCGAGTTTGTGAGACCAGGCCCTCAGGCAGAGTGCTGTGCCAAATGGCAGACGCCAGGTTGGAAGAGGTAAACTGAGTTAAGTTCAGGCATTCAGACAGGCAGGGATCCCTGGCTAGGCTAGGCAGATGGGCCTGGAGGAAAGGCAGATTGAGGACCTGGGGGGAGGGGAGAGAGTAAGACAGAAAAACTTGGTTCTCCCTCTCCACTCCCTCTGTTCCTATTGGCTTGTGAAGACTGTCTCTGAACCAGTGAGCCCCCCATCCTCCCAGAGACCCCAACCCAGGTGTCAGCTCAGCTTTCCAATCAGGGCCACCATATAGAGGGGATCAGACTCTTCAGGCGACAAAGCAGGTCAGATCAGTGACCTCAGCTCACTCCCCAGCAGGAGCCCCTCCCCTACCCCCCACTTCAAGTTCTGAGCCTCTGGTCTGGCAGTCCTCTGAGATAAAGTCAGTTACATTTCAGTCTACCTAGACCCTGTCCCTCAGCATGGAGATGAAAAATGTGGTCCATCCTTCCCACAGGCCCTACTCCCCTTGCGCCCAAGAAAGGTCACAGGAGACCTAGCCTTTGGGGCAGGTGGGGGCAGTATTTGGGTCAGGCACCCCCGAGCAGGCCAGAGTGAGAAGCCGATTCCCTCCCTCCACTCCCCAGGACACGGACCCAAGGACATTCCACTGGAGGGGGCACAGCCTGGAGATCCGTGTAGCATGGAGATCCGTGCATCCCTGACCTTCCCAGGGGTAAGGAGGGAAGCTCAGGGGCATCCCCTGGGTCTGACAGGACCCAGTCAACCTTGGTAAACTTGATTCTCTGGTAGTCAGGGGTATCGACAGAGACCAAGAGAGGGACAAAGTGAGGGAGTGCCAGAGACGGGAAGAAGAGAAGGAAGGAAGGGGGACCTACTTAGAGAAGTTTGAAGGGGTCTTGGCGGCCATCTCAAGAAGTCTCAGGGGTCCCGAAAGGAAAGCGGAAGGGGTGGGCTGCCCGGCCACCCCCATACCTGTATTTCATGCCAGTGCCTCGGCCGGTGCTCTCTCGGAGGGCCCCAGCGGGCGCTGGGGGTCGGGGAACCAGTGCAGCTCGGGCCTTGGGGCCAGACCCTCCACCCCCCGGAGGATTCCCGTGCCCCGCGCCGGTCGGCCCGCCATTACCGCCCCCGGGGCCCGGCCGGGGTCCACACAGACGGTCCTCACTGCTCCGGCTGCGAAGGTTCTGCTCGGTACACGCGATTGACACCTGCATGCCGGCTGACCGGGGCGGGGGAGGGGGCTCCGAGGGGACGGGAGGGGGGAGCAGGGAAGCCCGAGGGCGGACCACCGGGGGCGTAGTGGGGTGAGCCCCGGCAGAGAGGGAAGGCTGAGGAGGCTGCGGCGGGAGCCGCCAGGCAGGATCGGCCCGCGGGGGCGGGCTGCTGGAGGTCGCGAGGTTTCCGGCGGGAGGGAAGAAACGCGGGGGGCGCCAGGAGTGGAGGTATTCAGTTACGCGGGACACAGGTGCAAGGAGTAGGAGGGGGAAATGGATGAGGGTAAAGGTCGAGGATGAGGTAAAGATCTCGGAGGATAAGGACCCAGGGGGGAGTGGGGCGGGAGAAAGATGCCACTTCAGCGCGAACCGCTGCGGGACCCGCTGGGCTCCCAGCCGCGTCGGCAGCGGGCCCAGCTCATCAGCATGCAGGCACCGCCTCCTCATCTGCATAGAGCCGCCCGCCTCGCGGCCAAACCTGCCGGCCATCTGCATAAGCCCCGCCTGCCGAAGGCTCCGCAGCTTGAATATTTTCTGAGCGGAATCCGGGAGGGTGGCTCCTGCACCATCTGGGACCCAAGGGCTGTCAGGCTTCCCCAGGCCCAGTGGTTCTCAATCGGGAGGGACTGTGTCTCCCAGGGGACTTTTGGCAAGGTTTGGAGATATTTTTGATTTCATGCCTGTGCTATTAGCATCTAGTGAGTGGTAGCCAGGGATGCTGCGAAAATCCTACAAAGCACAGGACGGTCCCCACAATGAAGAATTATCCAGCCCAAAGCATCAATATTCCCACAGTTGAGAAGCCCATCCGCAAAGCCACTTCGTAGTCCTCAAGGATGTGTGGCTGCCCTACTTTCCGCCTTCATGCATGGGGCAGGACTGAGAGGGCCCTCAAACCAACACGCTCAGGCCGCAGAGAGTGGCAAAAAGTTTATTCTTTGCTTCTCGCAGCATCAGGTCGGGGGTAAAACTGGAGAGCGGGCCTGGTGTGGAGGTGGAGGGTCTCTGTGGGCTTCATTCTGGTAGGAGGAGAGCATCAGGGCAGGCCTTTACGCTGTTGCTCTGGGTGGGGGGTGGGGGTGCGGGGGCTTACAGTGGGGGCCCTTAAGTGGCACAGGTTCGGAAGGGCCCCAGGCAGACATGAATTCTCCTGAGACATGAGGAAGCTTGCTTCAGCCAGCCCGGGCGGAGAAGAAGGGCAGAGAGCGAACATAGGAGTCCAGTCGGGAGCGGAAGAGCTCACTTTGCACAGTTTGACCCAGCGGGCACAGGGGATTCTTCACCACCAGCTCCACATACAGCTATAGAAAGGGAAGATGTTAGAGCCAGGCTTTGGATACTTGTGGTTTTTAGCCCCAAACCTTGTATAACCTCAGGGGTGTGTAAATGCACAAGGAAGAAGGGCTGGAAGACAAGCCCTCTCTGAGGAGAAAGTGGTGGTGGGCGTTAAGAACCTAAGGGCCCCTGAGAACACTCTTGAGTTCAGCAAACATATAGTAGTATTTTAGGGCAGGGAAGATGAGGGAGTCTTGGGGTTCTGATGAACTCTGTGGTATGGGTCCCCGGGGCTAGCACTGACCGCACTGTAGATGTGATGCAGCACATCTCGGATGGGTCCCACGCCCAAGTCAGTATTCATGACAACTTTGATCCCAGTGGGCGTCTCGTAGTAATGGAGTTTGTAACGGCTAGTTTGGAAGGCCAGGAAGCCATCCTTCCTGCAGAGATGAGGAGGGTGTTAAAGAATGGGAGCAGAATCTCTCCCAAAGAGATACTTTTGATCCCCTCAAAGGTCGACTCCCTCTTCATCTAAACATATCCTTTGTAGAAGCCTGGTTGAGTAAATACATCACCCATCCTCACCCCTCAATTTAGCCTCCACCAACCTCTCTACTTTCAGACCCTCCCCACCGCCACTCCTGCCAGCTCCAGCACTCTCGCTCCGGACTCAGCCTCTCTAAGTACCCTTTCCCCCTCTGGAGGCCAATGCTCCTTCCACTTCAGAAAGTTTCCCCCATCCCCAAATTCCCAAGGCTAGCCTTCCTCCCAACATCTTTTCTGACTCGGCGTACATGTCTAGCGGGGACATCTTGCTGACAAACGAGCGGATAGAGAAGAGCATCCCGTACATCAGCTTATACTCCTGGAGGGAGAGGGGCAGAGTTAGCTCTCGGTGGATGCGGGAGACGGGGTGGGGGCTGGGAATGAGCTGGGGTTTGGAGAGGAGGGGCCGGGTTGGGACTATAGGTGTTTGGAGATGAGAGGTCACCCGGGCTGCACCGGGGCCCTCTCGTCACCTCCTCCTTGGGAATCCCTGCTTGCTTCTTGCGGTGCCATTCGCTGTAGTGCAGACACACTCCATTCCGGTCAAACAGGTACAGGTTGTGGACAGTCATCTGCAGGGCAGGGAATGTGAGCCTCGCTCCGGAACGGCCCCCACTCCGTGGGCTCAGGTTCCCAGACCCACAGCCTTCCAACCGGGTAGGGTCCGGGGACCCCACCCCCACCCCCGGACTCACCGGAACTGCTCCGAGTGCCTGTCAGGAGTTACTTCCGGTTTCCACGGAGCTCCGCCCCTTGGGGGGTTCTCACCCAGCGGCGCCGGGGCATTAACTCCGCTTCAAAGCCACTCGTCAGACTCCGCCTCCCTCCCTTAGCCAATCTGTGGCCACCGGAGCCGCGCACGCGCGGCCAGGCGCTCGGAATACAATAGTTATGTGAGCGTCTGCGAGCGTGGTCTCGCGGGCGGGTGACGTCATCGAGGCCAGAGAGGAGGAGCCGTGGACAGTGGGCGGGAGGCTGCCAACGGTTTTGAGCGTAGAGGGAGGCGCGAGAGGGGGATCTCAGGGGAGGAGGCCAATCGCTTGCCCCCCACTTTGGCAAACTGGGGGCTGAGGACTGGAAGGGTGGAGAGTAGGCGGAATCAGGTGGTCGTCAGGGTAGAGGATCTCGGGCTAGGCTTGAGGGCGGCGTGCTTTTTAGGGACGACTTAGGGCGTGACTGAGGGTTCACAAAGTTTCTTTTGGGGTGGTCGGGAGGGAGAGATTCTAGGGAGCAAGGAAGCTTGCTATGGCTTTCTTGCCAGGAGGGGTCGGAGGGCAAGTACAAGGGAGCTGACCCTGGGTAGAACGGGTGAAGAGGTGGGGGAGCGTGAGGTTCCTCCCTCTCTTGAGACTGGAGCCAGTTGAGGGACAAGTAGGGAAGGGGGACAGAAAATGGGCCCCTAGTGGATTTGGGTCCGTTTCCGTTGGGACGTTTTGGGCGTGAGAACTTAAGAGCTCAGTTGACCGGGGATAGCCTGTTCCGGAGTTGATGTGCAGCTTCCAGCACTCGTAGCTGGGAAGAGGAGCTTCAGCGGCGCTGTTGTCCCACAGTAGGTCTTCTGTCCGCACCCCCTCTGCGCTGCACCGTCTTAACACTGTTCCCAGGAGCTGGGGAAAGGGATGCTTTTGCCCACTCCCATGGGCCCTGGAACTGGTGGAAACCTTTCCTCTAACCATAAAGCCTCGATGCCCTTAATTCACCAAGGATCCTTGGCGTGGAGTCTTCTCCCTTCACCCAAATCTTTCTCCGTGAACTTTTCCTCCTGGACTTTGCTACAGCAGAACCTCCCAACTCTGTGCTGTCTCCGGTTGTCTCTTCCCTGTATTCATGGCAACATCAGCTGACAGCCCCAGTTCACCCCTCGGGGCGGAGGATCTCCTGAGTGATTCCTCAGAACCCCCTGGGCTCAACCAAGTGTCGTCTGAAGTGACCTCCCAGCTCTATGCTTCTTTGCGCCTCAGCCGGCAGGCGGAGGCCCGAGCCCAACTGTATTTACCCACCACCTCCCCGCCTCATGAAGGGTTAGACGGCTTAGCCCAAGAATTGAGTCGAAGCTTGTCAGTCGGATTGGAAAACAACTTGAAGAAAAAGGTGAGGGAAGTGTGTCTTGGAGACCACTGTGGCACCAGACACCAGAGAGTCTTGGGATTGGGGTTGGTAAAAATAAAAAACTTTGATGAGATTTGAACTCTTCTTGTTGGATTTCATATTCCCTTTAACTGCATAGGCAGTCATGCTTATGAGGGAGGGAGTGACCTGGGACACCATAATTTGAAAATTATGGAACTTCCTAGTGTTTTTTGTGAGAGACATCTCTGCTCCGAGTAGATAGAGCAAACCTATGGGGTAGGTTGGTGAGCTGTTTCCTGTGTACTTGGAATGGGGAAGGTTTCTTGATCCCAAGAGGGAACTAGGGACTTAGGATAGCGGCTCAGATCCTTCCAGCTCAACACTATTTTGATAGTGTGGTTCCAACTCTGGCATGTACATCATTAAGACGTAGTTTAGTCAACTACAACATGTAACAGAGAAGATAGTTATTAGTATTGTATAGAAAAGGTGTTATAGTCAATTTGCAGTCTGGTTAGGTCTTCCAGAGTTTGGAAATAATAGCCATAAGCCACACAGTCCTTACATTTGTTCTTGAATTGGCAAGAATCTCCACAATTCTTGCCTTACACCTCCTCAGTTATTTTATTTACATTCTCTTTCTGGCTTCTATAGTGTTTGAATTTCTGACTCAAGGTTAGGACATCCCTTATTGTATCTGTTTGGTTTTTCTTGTTTTCCAAAGTGTTGGAGTGAAAATTCTACCCTGGCAATAGGTAGGAGACAGATAACACAGGTTGCATCTGATTTCCATGTGGCTTTTTTTCTAGGATGGTTCTAAGCATATCTTTGAGATGGAAAGTGTTCGGGGTCAGCTCCAGACCATGCTCCAAACCTCACGTGATACAGCTTATCGTGAGTAAGCCCCTTCCCTAGAACTATGAAGGAGAACCTAGATTTAAGGGGTGGGAGAAGTGGACAGAGGAAGCAGACAGGAAAACCCAAGCAGGAAAACCTCTGAGCAAGAGATTTCAGGAGAAAAGTCTCCCTTTCTTTGGGAGGGGGGGTGAAGGAGGGAACTGGAAAGGAAGGCCTTTTCTTCAAGTGGCCCGTTTTTGTCATTACCTGACTGTGGCTTTGGGGTCCCTCTGGCTGCCTGCAGGGGATCCCCTCATTCCTGGCGCTGGCTCAGAGAGACGGGAAGAGGACTCCTTTGACAGTGATAGCACAGCCACCTTGCTCAAGTGAGTTCCCCTTGGGGTTCTCCTAGCTTGCTTGCTTTCTTGGAAATCCAAGTGTTTTGTTCCTTATTTCTCCCTTTATTGCTTTTGTACCTCTTAAGAACCCAAGAGGCTTATCACTTAGCTTTCAGTTTTCATCCTTTTTCTACTGTCTCCTACCTGCTTTACTCCTTCAGGAACACGGATATTTGCTGCCTGGTACCCGGTTTTCTCTTAACCTCCAGTCGTTCTTCCCCTCTAAAGAGTTAGCTTGTTTCTGCTGAAACCTTTAAGCGAATCCCAGACCTGTGTGTTATTTATGGCACTGTGGTTATATAGCTTTATGACTTTGGACAAGTCTCTTGCCCTCTCTGGGTCTCAGTTTCCTCATCTGTAGAATATCACAGTTGGACAAGTGGATTCCAAAAGCTTTCCCAGCCCTAACATTCTCTCCCTGATTTGCTCAGCACCCGGCCCCTGCAAGACTTGTCTCCATCTAGCTCAGCCCAAGCCCTGGAGGAGCTGTTTCCCCGCTACACCAGCCTTCGGCCAGGGCCTCCACTCAATCCCCCAGATTGTCAGGGGCTGAGAGATGCATTGGATTCAGAGCATACCCGCCGCAAGGTAAGATGAAAAGGCTTCCTTTTGAGAGCAGCAAAGATTAGAAAGAGGGGATCCAAGTGTTGAAAAGGGCTGAGGGTGAAGAGCCTGAAAGCTGGGACTTAACTCAAATGTTTTCCTGAGGACGTTTTTGACCATCCAACTAATATGGCACCACCTCCTTTCCAAGTAGTCAGTCAGATCGCCCTCTTATTTCCTTCATATAGCTTATCGTTCTGATATATCTTATCGTTCTGATATATCTTGTTTTTTTCTCGTCTCTAAAATTTGAGGGTCCATATCTTGTTTGTGTTAGTACTGGCTGCCTAAGGTCTAGAATATACATAACACAGAAACACTCAGTGTTTGTTGAGTGGACACAAACTCTGCTAGCTTGTGCATAGGATTTACAGCTGCTGGTGATAGACTGAGCCTTTATCTCTGTGAGCCTCTGCCTTAGTGTCTGAAGGGGACAGAGAAATAGACAAAGCAGAGGAAAGTCAAAATCCTTGGTTGCCATTTTTGGAAGCCTCTCCTTCTCTATGTTAAACCCCTTGGCATGAATGAAAGGCTTTCCCCTTTATCCTTGCTGTGTTTACTCATTGTGTCCAATGAGCTTCTGAAGGTAGGAGTAACTTTGCACATTTTGCTGTGTGGGCTGCTGCACCTCTGCCAAAAGGTTTATGGGATTTTTACTCAGGAGATCCAGGAAAAGGAGGAGCCTGGAATCTAAGCATTTATCTCCTGAAAAGGTACAGAAACATGTTGGAGATCTTGAGCCTCAAGGTGCTTGCTTCAGAATTTTCCTGATTCTCCCTCTCCAAAACTATTCTGTTCTTGGGACCCAGGCTTCTTGGCGCCAGCCCATTCCCCCACTAGAGGAGCTGGAAAGTTTGGTGCTGTGGTCATACGAAAGATGGGCAACACCCAGACTCCTCACCCTTTTCCCCAGCATTGTGAGCGCCATATTCAGAGCCTGCAGACCCGAGTGTTAGAGCTACAGCAACAATTAGCCGTGGCTGTGGCTGCTGACCGCAAGAAAGATACCATGATTGAGCAACTAGACAAGGTACCAGGGTAGCAAAATGTGGGTGGGTCTCGCCATGAAGAGCATTAAGGAATAATAAACAAGGGGGTGGCCAACCAATGTTTCTTGGCGCATGCTGAGAGCTGGGCAAGGGGTTGGTTTGCTGACTGTTGGGAGAAGATGGCTGTTGACCCCACCCCTGTGGGTAAAAAGAGGACAAAAAAGTTATTTTGAAATTCCATTTTACTTGCCCTACCTAAGACCCTGGCCCGTGTGGTGGAAGGCTGGAACCGGCATGAGGCTGAGCGGACAGAGGTTCTCAGGGGACTTCAAGAGGAACGCCAGGCAGCAGAGCTCACCAGAAGCAAGCAGCAGGAGGTGAGCACCCTGGAGTGTATGGCATTAGAACCTGAGTCACAGATCTTTAGATGGAAAGGGGCAGAAATAGCTCTGGAATTAGGGTTCCCAACAGATTGACCTCAGTCTTGTAGTGGCTGTCCTGACATTTCTTCTCATCCTTCCTTTCTTCTCCTTTAACCGTTTCTGCTGTCCAACTTGCATCATCAATGACTTCTTGATTTTTCCCACACCATGTAGTCTTCTATCTGGCCTCTTAGTCATTTAGTTAACTCTGAAGTTTCAAGTTTACATTGTCAATGCTTTATAAAATATAGCACACACAGATTTCCCACAGTTCCTCTGCCCTGTATTCCTCTCTTCCTGAAAGACAGTAACCCGCCTGGAACAAAGCCTTTCTGAGGCCATGGAGGCCCTGAATCGTGAGCAGGAAAGTGCCAGACTGCAGCAACGGGAAAGAGAGACATTGGTGAGAAGACTGGACTGGGTTAATTCCACTGGAAGCTGTTAATTACTTCTAGAGAGCTATGGGCTATTCGTGGATTGTGGGAGATTATAATTTGAGTTGCATCAGAGCACTGTTTCCCAAAGTGTGTTCCTTAGAACAGTAATTCAGCTAGATATTCTATTAAAAAAAAAAAAAAGGCTCTGCTACCAAGTTGGTTTGAGAAACTCTGCAAATTGTATCCTCATTAGAACATTAGCGTCATCTGAGGAATTATTTTAAAATATAGGCCAGGCACGGTGGCTCATGCCTGTAATCCCAGCACTTTGGGAGGCGAAGGCGGGTGGATCACGAGGTCAGGAGTTCGAGACCAGCCTGGCCAGCATGGTGAAACCCCGTCTCTACTAAAAATACAAAAAATTAGCTGGGCATGGTGGTGCATGCCTGTAGTCCCAGCTACTTGGGAGGCTGAGGCCGGAGAATTGCTTGAACCCAGCAGACAGAGGTTGCAGTGAGCTGAGATCATGCCACTGCTCTCCAGTCTGGGTGACAGAGTGAGACTCTATCTCAAAAAAATAAAATAAAATGAAGATTTCTAGGACTCACCCGCAGATGTTTTGATTCAGTAGATATGTGGTGGAACCCAAATCTTTTCAGAAATTTCCTGGATGATTTTTTTCAATCTGGTTTGGGAACTCTGTAGGGCATGGCCAAAAAAGGTATGGAATTGACTAGCTCAAGTTTCTTTTCTTTTCTTTTTTTTGAGACAGGGTCTCGCTCTGTTGTCCAGGCTGGAGTGCAGTGGTGCAATCGCAACTCACTGCAGCATCTGCCTCCTGGGTTCAAGCGATTCTCCCACCTTAGCCTCCCAAGTAGCTGGGACTACAGGTGCATGCCACCATACCCCGCTAATTTTTGTATTTTTTTGGTAGAGACGGGGTTTCACCACGGTGGCCAGGCTGGTCTCAAACTCCTGACCTCAAGCAATCTGCCCTCCTTGGCCTTCCAAAGTGCTGGGATTACAGATGTGAACCACCATACCCAGCCATTTCACTCAAGTCTCTTAGAGCTGAAATGATAAGGTGATTAGCCATATGAATTAGTAGCCAGGTTTGGAACTTGTTGCATGCATAATGCATGCTTGCTACATATATGCTGGTACTTGTAGTCTTAACAGGCTATATATATCTGACAGTCCTGATGATGGATGATGGTTCATGATTGTAGGCTGGATATTCTAGTCTTAGTGGAATTTCTTTTGATGATGGTGGTGGTAACTATTGTGTATTGAGTACTTACTATGTGCCTGATGCTGTGCTAAATGCTTTCTGTATGCTTTTTACTTTAATGCTCAGAAGGCAGACCTGTTATAACCTCTAGTTTACAGATAAGGATGTGTGCCTAAGAACACATAGTAAATTCCAGAAGCAGGATTCAAACCTGAGATTTGAACCGAGGTCTACTTGGCTCTGGAACAGCTGCTCTTATCTATTATAGTCCTATGAGCTTGTCAACTATTGTGTTTTGTTTGTTGGTTGGTTGGTTTGTTTTAAGATGGAATCTCGCTCTGTTGCCCAGGCTGGAGTTCAGTGGCACAATCTTGGCTCACTGCAACCTCCGCCTCCCAGGTTCAAGCAATTCTCCTGCCTCAGCCTCCCAAGTAGCTGGCAATACAGGTGTGCATCACCATGCCCAGCTAATTTTTGTATTTTTAGTAGAGACATGGTTGGCCAGGCTGGTCTCGAACTCCTGACCTCAGATGTTCTGCCTGCCTCGGCCTCCCAAAGTGCTGGGATTACAGACATGAGCCACTGCGCCTGTCAACTCTTGTGGGGTTTTTTAGGTTTTATTTGAGATGGAGTCTTGCTCTGTCACCCAGGCTGGAGTGCAGTTGTGTGATCTCAGCTCACTGCAACCTCCACCTCCCATGTTAGAGTGATTCTCCTGCCTTAGCCTCCCAAGTAGCTGGAATTACAGGCGCCCACCACCATGCCCAGCTAATTGTTGTATTTTTAGTAGAAACGGGATTTCACCATGTTGAACCAGGCTGGTCTCAAACTCCTGACCTCAGGTAATCTGCCTGCCTTGGCCTCCCAAAGTGCTGGGATTACAAGTGTGAGCCATCGTGCCCAGCCTAATTATTGTGTTTTTAATGAGCATAATTCTCAGCAGGCACCTTGTTTGAGGGTCAGAGGGCAGATTGCTGGTCTCTGAAGAGCCTACTAAGGAGCTTGGTTTTCTTCTGTGGCTGCAGGAGGAGGAAAGGCAAGCTCTGACCCTGAGCTTGGAGGCAGAACAGCAGCGGTGCTGTGCCCTGCAGGAAGAGCGGGATGCAGCTCGGGCTGGGCAACTGAGTGAGCATCGTGAGTTAGAGACTCTTCGGGCTGCCATAGAAGAAGAACGGCAGACCTGGGCCCAGCAAGAGCACCAGCTTAAGGAACACTACCAGGCGCTGCAGGAGGAGAACCAGGCTCAGTTGGAAAGGGAGAAGGTAAAAGTGGCAGTTGGAAGAGTTGAGGAACTAGGGAATAGATGAAGGGCAAAATGATTGAATGGGATGGAATGTTAGAATATGCGGGATATATATAGGCAGGAATGGAGAGTAGAGAGCCACGTGTGGGAGACAAAGTTGAGAGTATAGGGCCAGCAGGAAGGGCTGGGGGTTTTGAATACACGAAAGGCCAAAGACTGAAATTCAACAGGGATGGGGAAATAAGACAAATGGGAGGAGAAGGGGAAGCTTGGGTTTTAGGGTTTGGGAGGATGAACTGGGGAGTGGAGGTAACCAGGAGACAGGAAATGACATATGTATGTACGTTTGATTTGTCTTTCATAGGAGAAGAGCCAGAGGGAAGCCCAGGCCGCCTGGGAGGCCCAGCACCAGTTGGCGCTGGTGCAGTCTGAGGTGCGGCGGCTGGAAGGAGAGCTGGATACAGCTCGGAGAGAGAGAGATGCCCTGCAGCTGGAAATGAGCTTGGTGCAGGTCAGAAGGCAGAGGGTTCTTGAGGTTTTGTTCTGCGAGAAGTAGATCTGAGGCAGAGGGACCCCTCAGGAGTTGTGGCAGACACTCCCAGTTCAGGGATTTGGGGCTTAATTCCATCAACAGTTTCTTTTTTTTTTTTTTTTTTTTTGAGACGGAGTCTCGCTGTGTTGCCCAGGCTGGGGTGCAGTGGCGCGATCTCGGCTCACTGCAAGCTCCGCCTCCCGGGTTCACGCCATTCTCCTGCCTCAGCCTCCGAGTAGCTGGGACTACAGGCGCCCGCCACCACGCCCGGCTAGTTTTTTGTATTTTTAGTAGAGACGGGGTTTCACCGTGTTAGCCAGGATGGTCTCGATCTCCTGACCTCGTGATCCACCCGCCTCGGCCTCCCAGAGTGCTGGGATTACAGGCTTGAGCCACCGCGCCCGGCCTATCAACAGTTTCTGTGTAGTATTTTGGGTAGTTTTCTGTCGTAAACTCAGAGCCATTTCTCACTGAGTGACCATTTCCCACAATATGTCAGACTGACCTAGTGTTACTTTTAGGATTAAATAGATTTAAATCTATGAAAGATACCTTATGTTATTTTAAGAGATGACACCACACTTAGTGGGTTGACGGAGCAGGTGAAAGTTTTTGTCAGAGACTTGATTCCAATCGTAACAATATGCTTTGTAATTCTCTTTACTTGAATAACTTGTATTAATTTCTCTGAGTAGGTCAGGGACCCAGGAAGGCAATGATTTTTTAATTTACTTATGAAACTTCCATAACAGCACATGGCCTGGCGCAGAATTGTACTCAAAAATTGTTTGTCAAATATAATTACACTTTGAAAAACACTTTCCATCTAGCTAACATACTGAATTTTAAATTCAAATTAGTCAGACTCTTGCTGTGGAATAGAACAGGAGATGGCAAACTTTTTCTGTAAAGGTCCAGACAGTAAATATTTTTAGCTTTGTGGGTTGTGTGGTCTTAGCTGCAACTACCCAACTCTGCTGTTATACCACAGAAGTAGCTACAAACTGTACGTAAACAAATGGGCACAGCTGTGTTCTAGTACAACTTATATAAACAGGCCATGGAGGGCTGAATTGGGCTGTAGTTTGCAGATCTACAGGATACAGGAAAGGATTGGAGAGAGCTGTGTTCTGGCCCATGGTGGAGAGACAGCATTGAAGAGGAAAGAGTACTGCATTAGGACTTAGGGCACTTATTTCGACTTCTAGCTAGAATTTTGACCCTTACGGGCCTTGGTTTTTATGTATAAAATATGTGTTAAGGACAAATGGATGAATTTTCCAGGTGCAAGGCCATTCTGAGAGGCTATGTTCCTTATAAATGGTTAACTTAAGGAGGTACCAGTGAGGCCGGCATTTGAGAACCATACTCCTTTAGCCCGGTGTGGTGGCTCATGCCTGTAATCCCAACACTGTGGGAGGCCAAGGCGGGCAGATCACTTGAGCTCAGGAGTTTGAGACCAGCCTGGCCAACATGGTGAAACCCCATCTCTACTAAAAATACAAAAATTAGCCAGGTGTGTGGCACGCACCTGTAGTCCCGGCTACTAAGAAGGCTGAGGCAGGAGAATCGCTTGAACCCGGGAGGCGGAGGTTGCAGTGAGCTGAGATCACGCCGCTGCACTCCAGCCTGGGTGACAGAGCAGAACTCCGTTTCAAAAAAAAAGAAAAGAAAAGAAAAGAAATTGAATTCTTTATAGTAAAGTACTATACGTGGAAATCAGATTTTAGTGAGTTGAAGGACTGTGGCTGAGAAAATGGAGACACTTACAGGTTGACTGCTTAAGGAGGAAGAGGCACTGACATTTATTGAATGCCTACTGGCTTTCAGGTACTCTACTCAGGGTATGTTATCTCAGACACAGAATAGATTTGATTGCTCTATCGAACATTCATTTTAGCTAAGAAATTTATGTCTTTCACCCAAAGTCATTTTCACTTTGATGTATGTTTAAAGTGTGAATATCTCATGGTTTAATAAGGAAAGGGAACCTCTTTCACTCCTTGAGGCAAAATTATTGTTCTTCATCTCATACGAGGGGAAAGTTGGTACTGGATTTTGTCTACATTATATCCGCCATCCTCTTGTAAGCCCAAACAGATTTGGGCCGTTATCCCACCTTCCTTCACTCCCAGGCCCGGTATGAAAGCCAGCGGATCCAGCTGGAGTCAGAGCTGGCTGTGCAGCTGGAGCAGCGGGTGACAGAGCGGCTGGCGCAGGCTCAGGAGAGCAGCCTACGGCAAGCAGCCTCCCTCAGGGAACATCACAGGTACATGGGACTCACTGGATGTCACTTCTCTCAGCCACAGCAGGTATCGTTAGTGCCAGGCCCATGTTCCCTTCAATCCCTTTGCCATGGTCCAGCACTGTGACTCCCAGGGTGCGCTAACTCCCGTCAGCCTGGCCCTGAGTCTCTCTTGGGAGGGCTGCCTTCATGCATTCATGGAGAGCCAGAAGTGCCTGGGAATTTTCATCCCATAGGGAGTAGCCCTTAACCAAGAACTGATGGGTGCAGAATGATAGATGGTCCAGCTCCTTTGCTGAGACAGTGCTGAGGTATGACCTGCGCTGTCTCCGGAGCTGCTCTGTCGGACTGAGCCTCCTCCCAGCCCGGCCTCACTTCTCACCCCCATTCAGCTGCCAAGATTTTCTAGAAATGCTCCCAAAATAAATTTATTTAAGTCTCTGCTTCTGAGGAACCCATCCTAAGACCCCAGCTTTGCCCTTGCTGCTTCCTGTGCCATGGCCAGGCTAGTTGACTGGCTATCTGGGTCACTGTCACATGCACACATGATGTCTTTTTCTCAGTTGGTCACTTCTTCTATCTCCAGTCCCAGTCCTCTCTCCTACCTGTGCCCTGCAGGAAGCAGCTGCAGGACCTGAGTGGACAGCACCAGCAGGAGCTGGCTAGTCAGCTAGCTCAGTTCAAGGTGGAAATGGCAGAGCGAGAGGAGCGACAACAGCAGGTGGCTGAGGACTACGAGCTCAGGTCCTGGTCCCCAGAGTGCCCCTTTCAGGCCCCAGCCCCTTTCTCATGGGTAGAGTCCAAACTGAGAATGCTAAAGAGCTGCTCCCTTGATTGATCTGTCCACTACATGGGCCTCAGCTCCTTTCAGAATGTCAGATGTCCGACATTCCTTTCTGGCTCTTTTTAGCCCCCAAGTCTCTGCTTCCTTAAAGGCCCTGAGTCACTTCTTCTCTCTTTTCTTCAGACTGGCCCGGGAGCAAGCGCGAGTGCGCGAACTGCAGAGTGGGAACCAGCAGCTGGAGGAGCAGCAGGTGGAGCTGGTGGAAAGACTGCAGGCCATGCTGCAGGCCCACTGGGATGAGGCCAACCAGCTGCTCAGCACCACTCTCCCACCACCCAACCCTTCAGTAAGCATTGCCCCTTGAGCTAAGCTTCTCCATGGCGTTCTGTTTTTATTTTTATTTTTGAGGCAGGGTCTCACTCTGTTGCTCAGGCTGGAGTGTACTGGTGCGATCATAGCTCACTGCAGCCTCGAACTCCTGGGCTCAAGTGATCCTCCCACCTCTAACTGCCAAAGTGCTGGGATTCCAGGCATAAGCTACCATGCCCAGCAAGAACTATGTTCTAGATTCCTTCTTTGGAAATCTAGCTCCCTCCCAAGGGAAGTACTAAGTTTAGCTCCTAAGGCCTATATCAGGGGAAAAAAATCAGTGGACTTTACAAATAATAACTGCCTCAGCAAAATAAATCCTTTTTTCCATGGCCATAGCTTACTCAGACTGGCCCCATTCTATTGGGCATAACTCTAGTCTCCCAGTCCCAAGAGGGGACAAATGATATGTGGTACTAGTTTTGTGGAGGGACAGCTGAATTAATTATAACGGAAGGGCCAAAAATTGTTGCCAAGTCCTGCCCCAGAGTAGAGTAGGGAGTCTCACTTCCTAGCCCTTCATATGCTGGTACTTCCCACTTCCTTCTTTTAATTATGAAATTGTAGCAGGTGTGGTGGTGCACCTATAATCTCAGCTATATGGGAGGCTAAAGCAGAAGGATCACTTGAGCTCAGGAGTTCAAGACTAGCCTAGGCAACATAGTGAGACCTCATCTCAAGGAAAAAGAAGAAAACATTAGGATATTTTAATTTTAATTTTATTTATTTATATATTATTTATTTATTTGAAACAAGGTCTCACTCTGTTGCCCAGGCTGGGCTCAAGCAATCCTCCCTCCTCTGCTTCCCGAGTAGCTGAGACTACACACACGTGCCATTGCCCCCAGCTAATTTTTAAATCTTTTGTAGAGATGGAGTCTCTCTGTGTTGCCAAGGCTGGTTCAAACCCCTAGCCTCAAACGATCCTCCCAAAGTGTTGGGATTACGGATGTGAGCCACTGCACCCGGAAATTTATAATCTTACTAAAGTGTTTGTACCATGTCTTACCTCTTTAAACCTGCTGTGCTTTGACCCTTCTTTCTGCCTTTCTCCTGATTAGGCTCCTCCTGCTGGACCCTCCAGCCCCGGGCCTCAGGAACCAGAGAAGGAGGAGAGGAGGGTCTGGACTATGCCTCCTGTGGCTGTGGCCCTGAAGCCTGTATTGCAGCAGAGCCGGGAAGCAAGGGACGAGCTACCTGGAGCACCTCCTGTTCTTTGCCGTTCCTCCTCAGATCTTAGCCTCCTGTTGGGCCCCTCTTTTCAGAGCCAACATTCTTTCCAACCCCTGGAGCCCAAACCAGACCTCACTCCATCCACAGGTAACTGGGGACAGAGGTCACTGGGGTTCCCCTTCTATGCATGAATTGGCTCCCTCTTTCGTACCTTGCTTTCTCTCTGGTACTTGAGCATTTAGTTTCCCAGATGCCTTTAGTGATCACAAGTTGCAAAAAGGAGCAGAAATCTGCTCACGTTGGTCCACATAAAGGAACTGAGATCTCATGGAAATGAGGCGTCGCTGGACTTAATGAGAACTGGAGTTGGGAACAGGGGCACTATCAGGAACTGAGGCAGCTAGCTGGCCCTTTTCTGTGGGCCTGCATAGTCTCCTGGGTCCGCCTCTCCTGCACATCTGCTCTTTTTTCTTGCTAGACCAGCATCCAAGGTTCTCGCCTCTCATAACTTCAGTTTACACATGAGTTTGACCAGCTGTGGCTGTGATACTGACTCTAGCTGAGCCCCTAGACATTGAGAGAGACATTGGTGTCTCAGTTTTTTAGGTCCAGTTTAGAGGCCATCTGATTGGACTGGCTGACCTTGGGTGTGGTGTCCACTTCTACTTTAATGTCAGCTGTGATTTGAGTGGATGGAGGTGTTCTGTGTGGTACAAACATGACAATGTAGGTCGAATTGAAAATGAGGGGTGGGGCCAGACCCAGTGGCTCACACCTGTAATCCTATCACTTTGGGAGGCTGAGGTGGGAGGATGGCTTGATGTCAGGAGGTCCACACCAGTCTGACCAATATAGTGAGACCTCATCTCTACAAAAAATAAAAAATAGCTGGGTGTGGTGGCACACACCCGAACTTCCAGCTACTCAGGGAGACTGAGACAAAAGGATTGCTTGAGCCAAGGAGTTCGGGGCTACAGTGAGCTAAGAAGGTGCCATTGTACTCCAGCCTGGGCAAGACAGCAAGACTCTGTCTCTTTTAAAAAAAAAAAAAAAAAGAGAGAGAGAGAGAGATTAGTTGTATCACAATTAAAAATTTTTTAATTATGTGAGAATAATAAAAGAATGGGGCATATTCTGGGGAAGAGATCAGAACATGTGTGTTACTCATTTCCATTCTTCAGGGAGTTGGTGAGGATATTTATTTGTTTAGAGTTTGAGTACCACAGCTTTCTTCTTCTGTTTATATTTCTGTCTTAGAGTTCAGCTGTGCTATCTCCCAGTCACCTCCAACCAACCCTTCCCTCTCCAGCTCCTTTAAACCTCCATCTTCATCTTCTTCTAGCAGTGACGTTCCTCTTACATTTAATAGGCCCCTTTCTTCTGAGTGTTAGGTGAGTTGATTTGTGGAGGAGCCCCTTCCCCCTTGAACACACTTGCACCCACCCACACCTGTTTCACTTTATAGCTGGGGCCTTCTCTGCACTTGGGGCCTTCCATCCCGACCATAGGGCAGAAAGGCCATTCCCTGAGGAAGATCCTGGACCCGACGGGGAGGGCCTCCTAAAGCAAGGGCTGCCGCCTGCTCAGCTGGAGGGCCTCAAGAATTTTTTGCACCAGGTAAGAGAGATTCCACCCAGACTAGCTCATTTTCTTCTTCCCTTTCTCCTTTCCTCTTTCTGCTCTGGGAATCCAGGACTCTGACCTCATTCCCTGTTTATGACTAACTCTTCGTCCCAGCTTCTTCTCTCAGATCCCTAGGCCTTTTTCTCTATCAGTCCCTGGGGAATTTGACTATCTTATTCACCCACAGTTGCTGGAGACAGTGTCCCAGAACAATGAGAACCCTGCTGTCGATCTATTGCCCCCTAAGTCTGGTGAGTTCCAACTCTGAAGAAAGTTGGGGCTGGGGCCTAGGAAAGATCGGAGTTGGTTATCTAGGATGAATTTTTAGGAGCTGGCAAAGGCAATAAAGCCTTATGAATGCTGGGTGGTGGGAATTCCTTGGTTCTTTGCTCCATTTCCTGATTCTTGGCTCTCTTTCATTTTGCTAGGTCCTCTGACTGTCCCATCTTGGGAGGAAGCCCCTCAAGTGCCACGTATTCCACCCCCTGTCCACAAAACCAAAGTTCCCTTAGCCATGGCATCCAGTCTTTTCCGGGTCCAGGAGCTTCCCTCCTCCCATTCACAAGGCAGTGGTCCCAGCAGTGGTTCCCCAGAGAGAGGTGAGCATGTCCTGGTTTACTAGGGAAAAAAAGAGGGACAGTCCTGAGTGTGTATCCAGTACAGGTACTTACTGTCCTTCTGAATTCCTGGGGAAACGGGCTGAGGGCTGGGGAGAGGGGCCCTAGGATGACACCTGTGATTATTGCTATGTCTGTCAGGTGGAGATGGGCTCACATTCCCAAGGCAGCTGATGGAGGTGTCTCAATTGTTGCGACTCTACCAGGCTCGGGGCTGGGGGGCTCTGCCTGCTGAGGATCTCCTGCTCTACCTGAAGAGGCTGGAACACAGCGGGTACAAGCCTGGGAGGAAGGAGGAAGGATTCGCAGGGTGGAAGCTGGATTATGGGGAGTGGAGTGGGTGTGTTTTACCCTGAATTGAATCGTTGTCCCTTTCTGGGGAGGAAAGTGAAGGATGAGAGATGGATCCACAGATCTTCTTCTCTTACTGCCCCACACCTTTCTTTTGTCTCTTCCTTTCTATTGCTTTTTTCTTCTAAACAAAAAAATCTTTTCTCCGGGTCTCTCTACCTTCGTTTTTTTCCTCTTTACCCCTCAGCTCAAAACTCAGAATCCTAGAATTTTGACTAGCTAGTATAACTCATTATTTGCTTCCACTAATGTCTCCTCCCAGTTGATGCCCGGGTCTATCGAGTTTGATCTTATTCTTAAGAGATAGAATTGGCCGGGCGCGGTGGCTCAAGCCTGTAATCCCAGCACTTTGGGAGGCCGAGACGGGCGGATCACGAGGTCAGGAGATCGAGACCATCCTGGCTGACACGGTGAAACCCCGTCTCTACTAAAAAATACAAAAAACTAGCCGGGCGAGGTGGCGGGCGCCTGTAGTCCCAGCTACTCCGGAGGCTGAGGCAGGAGAATGGCGTGAACCCGGGAGGCGGAGCTTGCAGTGAGCTGAGATCCGGCCACTGCACTCCAGCCTGGGCGGCAGAGCGAGACTCCGTCTCAAAAAAAAAAAAAAAAAAGAGATAGAACTGGGGAGTGGTTCTTCCATCCAGTATTGGGTAACCGGGGGGACGGAGCTCCCCATCCTCATACCTTTGATTTGTGTGGCAGGACTGATGGCCAAGGGGATAATGTCCCCAGAAGGAACATAGACTCCCGCTTGGGTGAGATCCCCCGGAAAGAGGTGAGGGAAAGTCAGGCAGGGACCAGGGGAGAAAAGGGCTCTCACTGACCAGTTCCTTCACCTCTGCGCACTCCTGGCTGGCCCCTCCATTCCACCCCCGCGTTCTGTAGCATGGCCTTTCCTCCCTGCAGACTCATCTGGCCCTCTCCACGTGCCTTTCCTCAGTGGTGTGGGGAATTGAGAGGATCTGACACTGATTTCTTCCTCTCTCTTCCCTCAACTCTCAGATTCCCTCCCAGTCTGTCCCTCGCCGCCTTGCTACAGCCCCCAAGACTGAAAAACCTCCCGCACGGAAGAAAAGTGGGCACCATGCCCCGAGTAGTATGAGGAGCCGGGGGGGAGTCTGGAGATGAGCCCCCCTACCCTCTTTCCTCTTCTTTGTTCTCTTATTGTTGTTATTTTAATAAATGCTCGATAGTCTGTATCAGAGTCTCTGGCTCATAGGAATTTGGAAAATAGAGGTTTTGTAGGAAATCACTTTGTAAAGAAACCACATTTGGTTTGAGTACTCTTTTTTATATGTTACGTGTTTATATGTCATTTCCTATGGGAAAAGACGTGAATGCTTTGGAAGATGGTCTATGACAAGATTTGGAAAGTTGGAGTAGCTAAGATTCAGTGGACAAAGCTAAAACCTGCAGAGCAATGAACTCTGGGTGGTAGTGGAATTATGGGTGATTCTTAGTTTTTTAATACATTTCTGTATTTTCCAAATTTTCTAAAACAAGTATATGTTACTTTAATAATCAGAAAAGACCCAAACTTTAATAAGAGTAAGTTATTGTATAAAGAGTTTGAGTTAAAATTTGGTTGTTGGGGAGAAAGTTTTCTCTTTTAAGGGAAAATAGGCCGGGTGTGGTAGCCCAGCACTTTGGGAGGCTGAGGCGGGCAGATCACGAGGTCAGGAGATCGAGACCATCCTGGCTAACACGTGAAACTCCATCTCTACTAAAAATACAAAAAAATTAGCTGGGCATGGTGGTGGATGCCTGTAGTCCCAGCTACTCGGGAGGCTGAGGCAGGAGAATGGCATGAACCCAAGAGGCGGAGCTTGCAGTGAGCTGATCACGCCACTGCACTCCACCTGGGTGACAAAGCGAGACTCCATCTCAAAAAAGAAAAAAAAAAGGGAAAATAATTCTTTCAGGTTGCATTCGTAGTATTCAGACTGGCAGATTCTACTCCAGCCAGCAGACATACTGTTGCTATAGTCTTCACACTTATGGCTCTGAAACGTGTAAAAGACTATAGAGTGCTGGGTCCTAATTAAACTAAAGAGTTTCTGCACAGCAAAAGAGACTGTCAACAGAGTAAACAGACAACCTACAGAATGGGAGAAAATATTCTCAATCTGTGCATTTGACAAAGGTCTAACATCCAGAATCTATTAGGAACTTAAATCAACAAACAAAAAACAAATACCTCCATTAAAAAATGGGCAGAGGACATGAGCAAACACTTCTCAAAAGAAGACATGCAAGCGGCCAAGAAACATTTGAAAAAATGCTCATTACTAATCATAAGAGAAATGCAAATCAATTTAATGCAAAACCCCACAATGAGATACTATCTCATGCCTGTCAGAATGACTTATTAAAAAGTCAAAAAACAACATGCTGCAAGGCTGCAGAGAAAAGGGAATGTTTATATAGCTGCCAGTGGAAATGGAAGTTCAGCCACTGTGGAAAGCAGTTTAGAGATTTCTCATAAAACTTAAAACAGAGTACCATTTCCTCCAGCGATCATATCACTGGATATATACCCAAAGGAAAACAGGTCATTATACCAACAAGACACATGCATTTATATGTTCATTACCACACTGTTCTTTATAGCAAAGACATGGAATCAACCCAGATGCCCATCAGGGGTGGACTGGATAAAGAAAATGTACATATATACCATGGAATACCACACAGCCATGAAATGAAATAATATCCTTTGTAGCAACATGGATGGAGCTGAAGGCTATAATCTTAAGCACAGTAGTATAGGAACAGAAAACCTCATACTACACGTTCCCCTAAGTGAGAGTAAACATTGAGCACATGTGAACATAGACTTGGGAACAACAGATACTGCAGACTCCCAGAGCGGGGAGGAAGGGAGGCGCGGGTTGAAAACTACCTAATGATACTATGCTGACTACCTAGGTGCAATATACTCATGTAACACACCTGCACATGTATGCCCTGTATCTAAAATAAAAGTTGAAATTCAGATTGGGCGCGGTGGCTCACGCTGTAATCCCAGCACTTTGGAAGGTCAAGGCAGGCAGATCACTTGAGGCCAGGAGTTCGAGACCAGCCTGGCCAACATGGTAAAACCCTGTCTATTAAAAAATATAAAACATTAGCCAGGCATGGTGGTGGGCACCTGTAATCCCAGCTACCTGGGAGGCTGAGGCAGGAGAATCACTTGGACTTGGGAGGCAGAGGTTGCAGTGAGCCGAGATTGCACCACTGCACTCCAGACTGGGTGACAGAGCAAGGCTCTGTCTAAAAAGAAAAAAAAAGTAGACTGCTGGCAAGAAAATTAAACCATGTTTATAAAACTTCCATTTTAATGCTCACTAAAATGGACAAAAACAATACTAGGGAAGAAAATAACATAGACATGAAATTTTAAAAGGCCCCAAATTCAGGGTACAAACACTGAAAAGCACTCAGTCAAACTCAAACCGGAAGAGGATATCCTACCTTGAGACTCACACACAGCTCTCAGCTCTCGCACACAGTGCAGGGTAGTGGTGATGGCAGGTGCAAAGTGAATGTTTGAGGGACAGAGTTTACTGGATTCTGAGAGGAAGGCAGGGCCCTTCTATCTGGCCCTGAGTTACAGACATGATAGGATGTGGATTCGTAGAGTGTTTTGTACTAATGTTTGCATTTTACTTCCACCTAAGTAACTTTCTAGCCCCCAGGGGAGGGACAAAGGAAGAAAAGATGAAGATGAATGACCAGAAATGTGGGTTGCCCTGCTCAGCTGCGTCAGGACGGCTTGATCCTCAGCCCCGCACAGGACCGCTCTCTGGCATGCACCAGTGAAGAAACCAGAGGTGCACTGGTACAGGAGCAGCCCCAGGCTTGGGGGCTTTTCCAGCCTTGTCTGTTTACCCACGTATGGAAATGCTTGCTTTTCTATTTTTTACCTCAAATGGATAACATTGGTTTGACCAAACTCTCAGATTCGTGGCACACTATCATTGTTGGCAGGTGATGGTGTGCTACTGTTTTTAATAGTTGGTAAAGTGAACACCCAGTTCATTCTGCTCATTACCTGCTGGATTCCCGCCTACCGCCATCAGTCAGTACGCCCTACATTTTTCTTGACGTGAAGCACAGTCTGGAGAATGTTTCCTGAAACAGCTCTTTAAACACAATCCAAAAAGGGCACCATGCTGACTTAACCATATTATGAGGTGAGTAAAACAACGTTGATTTTTAAAACTATATATTGACTGGGCATGGTGGCTCATGCCTGTAATCCCAGCACTTTGGGAGGCCGAGGCGGATGGATCACCTGAGATCAGGAGCTCGAGCCCAGCCTGGCCAACATGGCAAAAGCCCATGGCAAAACCCCATCTCTACTAAAACACAAAAATTAGCCGGGTGTGGTGGCACATGCCTGTAATCTCAGCTACTCGGAAGACTAAGGCAGGAGAATCCCTTGAACTTGGGAGGTGGAGGCTGCAGTGAGCCGAGATCACGCCACTGCACTCCAGCCTGGGCAACAAAGTGAAACTCCATCTCAATAAATAAATAAATAAAATGGTATATATTATATCCATATTAAAATCTGAAGACCACCAAGGAGACTGGGGAGGAAGAAAAAACCCACAGTCAAGCAGTCCCCACTTTTTTCCTCCATGATCATCGTGGGAACATGCTGAGAGTGGGGGAATGAAAGATTTTAAGAGTTCGTAAAAACTCACTTGCAGAGAAAGTGGGTGCAGCCTTCTTGAAGCTCAGGTTTCACAGGGTATAGATGAGGGGTTGACCTGGGACTTTGTCTCCTAAGAACTCTCAGAGCCGTTATAGTTGGGAGTGGGGAAGGTCCTGGCAGTGGAGTTAGTTAGGGTGAAGGCTAATAACAAACCCAGTGATACACTGACTTTTAGACAAAGTTCATTTCCCTGGTTATGGTCCAGAGCAGTGAGTCAGTCCTGCTCTGTGTGGTCACTTAGAGTCTCAGATTCCTTCCATCTCATTGCTCTGCTGTCCCCTAAAGCAGCAGTCGCCAACCTTTTTGGCAGCAGGGACGGGCTTTGTGGAAGACAATTTTTCCACAGACAGGGGTGTGGATGGTTTGGGGATGATTCAAGCACATAACATTTATTGTGCATTTTATTTCTATTATTATTACATTGTAATTAAACAATTATACAACTCATCATAACATAGAATCAGTGGGAGCCTGAGCTTGTTTTCCTGCAACTAGATGGTCACATCTGGGGGTGATGGGAGACAGTGACAGATCATCAGGCATTAGATTCTCATAAGGAGCGTGCAACCCAGATCCCTCGCATGTGCAGTTCATAATAGGGTTCACGCTCCTATGAGAATCTAAGGCCACCGCTGATCTGACAGGAGGCAGAGCTCAGGTGGTAATGCATGTGAGCAATGGGGAGCGGCTGTAAATATAGATGAAGCTTTGCTTGCTTGGCCGCTGCTAACCTCGTGCTTTGCATTTCGATTCTGAACAGGCCGTGGAACGCTACTGATTGGTGGCCAGGGGTTGGGGACCCCTGCCCTAGAGCACTCTTGTTATTTGTGTGGCTGAAGCAAGATCATTGTCATTTAGGATTCCCAGCTGACAAGCAGGGCAAAGAGCTATGTCCAATATCTTAACACCCATACCTGGAAATGCCACGTATCAGTTTTGCTCATATTTCATTGGCAAGGCTTTGATCATATGGTCACACCTGACTGCAAGAGACTTAGAAACGTAGCCTAGCTGGGCTGCCATGTATGCAGCTATGACTATTATTATGTAGGAACTCAGGAGGAAGGAGAGAATGGATTTTGATAGACAACTAGCAGTCTGCCCTACACAGGGTAGGACCTCCCTCAGATAAATTGAAAACTAATGATTGCTGAGACAACCCATGCCAATAATTAGTAGTGAATGTGCAGATAATGAAAAGATGCATTGGACATATGTAAGTTAGTCCAGGCTACACAATTGAACTAATGAGCTCCTACAAAACAGTTAATGTAGGAAAAAGGAAAGAACTTCAATTCCAGTCATCATTATTATTGGAAAATGAAAGATGGAGTGAAAAAGATGCAGCCATAGAACAAGAATTTGGGGTTAAAAAACACCAAAAAGCAGAATGGACTCTACTGGAAATCATGCATATTAGCTAGAAGAAAAATTGGAGGACATCTCCAAGTTTACAAAAGGGAGAAAATATGTAAATTATTAAAGAAACAATAGAAAAAAAATGGATCCAGAACAAATATCTAGGAGAAAATACAATAATGATTTTAAAAATAATAGAAAATTTTGATTCTGAAAGTATGGTTGAATAGATAACTCATGCTGAATCATAACTAGATCCCGGTAGTATGACAATAATTTTTTTTTTTTTTTTTTTTTTTTTTTGACGGAGTCTCGCTCTGTCGCCCAGGCTGGAGTGCAGTGGCCGGATCTCAGCTCACTGCAAGCTCCGCCTCCCAGGTTTACGCCATTCTCCTGCCTCAGCCTCCCGAGTAGCTGGGACTACAGGCACCCGCCACCTCGCCCGGCTAATTTTTTGTATTTTTAGTAGAGACGGGGTTTCACCATGTTAGCCAGGATGGTCTCGATCTCCTGACCTCGTGATCCACCCGTC